GAGGAGGAATTAAAGAACCTCTTAATGAGGGTGAAAGAGGAGAGTGCAAAAAACAATCTGAAGCTCAACATCAAAAAAACTAAGATCATGACCACTGGTCCCATCACCTCCTGGCAAATAGAAGGGGAAGATATGGAGGCGGCAACAGATTTTACTTTCTTGGGCTTCATGATCACTGCAGATGGAGACAGCAGTCACGAAATTAAAAGACGCCTGCTTCTTGGGAGGAAAGCAATGACAAACCTTGACAGCATCTTAAAAAGCAGAGACATCACCTTGCCAACAAAAGTCTGAATAGTCAAAGCTATGGTTTTTCCTGTAGTGATGTATGTAAGTGAGAGCTGGACCATAAAGAGAGCTGACCGCTGAAGAATTGATACTTTTGAATTGTGATGCTGGAGGAGACTCTTGAGAGTCCCCTGGGCTACATGGAGAACAAACTTATCGATTCTAAAGGAAATCAACCCTGAGTGCTCACTGGAAGGACAGATCCTGAAGCTGAGGCTCCAATACTTTGGCCATCTCATGAGAAGAGAAGACTCCTTAGAAAAGACGCTGGTGTTGGGAAAGTGTGAAGGCAGGAGGAGAAGGGGACGACAGAGGATGAGATGGTTGGACAGTGTCCTCAAAGCAACCAACATGAATTTGACCCAGCTCCAGGAGGCAGTGGAGGACAGGAGGGCCTGGCATGCTCTGGTCCATGGGGTGACGAAGAGTTGGACACGACTAAACAACAACATACCAATATAATTACCTGAAGAGGACAGAAAAACTTGGCAAATTATTATTAAGTTTTTAACTGTATATTAAAAGGTAAGCATTAATAAAAAGAGATGGTATAAGGCTCAGAAAGTAGTAGGGCTGGGACTTTCCAATCTGAAGAGTTTTTATATTACTAATCAGGTAAGACATATAGGGGACATTATTATGCATCCTAATAAAATGATGTGGTGGGCTTTGGAATCATTGGATCTAGATTCAAATTTTGAGAATATTATTTTCAAACCACATAATGAAAACAGAGGTATAGAAAGTGGAAACCCTTTTCTTTAAAATATGTTGACGATTTGGAATAAGCATAAGAATATATTTAGTCTTCTAGTATCACCATTATGTCCAGAGACTGAGCTGGAAACTTTTCCAATGAATTTGAAAAACCTGAAGAGGAAGTTATTCAATTAAAGGAGTGGGTAGAAAAGATGGGGCAATAGAGAACAAATAAAATATGTATTAGGAAGGGAAAAAGTATCTTGGTTCGTTTAATGTAGTTATTGAAGTGGACAAAAGATTGGCTGAGGAAAAATTGTAAATATAGCGAACTTACAAAGTGTGAGGAAATGTTACTACAAAATTAAAGTGAAGAAGAAAATAAAACACTGAACGATATAGTAAGGAAAATTTATTTCAAAATTAACTGAAATGGAAGATCAGTAGGATCCACTGGAAGTTTTATGGGAATATGATATGAGGCAAGAGAGAAGTACTGAGAGATGGGAGAAATTATGTGATATATGAATAGTGAAATTTATGTCTATAAGGATTAAAAATAACTTTTATAAAATTATGTGGTGATGGTATGTAACTCCAGTGAAATTAAATCAAATAAATCAAAACTATTCTATGTTGTGTTGGAGAGGATGCTAGAAAACTGGTACTTATTTTCATATGTGGTGGGAATGTGAGAGTGTCATTAAATTTTGGCAAATGATATTTATGGGAAAAAGAAGTAGCCAAGCAAAATGTAAAAGTATGTCCTAAAATAACACTAAAATAGTATGGAATATAGCTATCAACAATAAATTAATATGTAATATTTAAACAAAGGATTTCTTAAAAGGCATACTTTGGCAGAAATTTAGGGAGATTTTATTGATCATGTATTAATAAAGGGAAAGAGAAGTGCACCATTGCAAGAAATGTTACAATTTTGGAAGGGGAATGGGAATCCTTGAAGGAAAGAGAATTGTTTAGATCTCCAGTGGGGGTGGGGCACATTGTTATACATAATTTTTAAGTTTTGTGTATAAAAACTATGTCTTACTCTTTTTTTCTGTTTTATTTTTATTTTCTTTATGTTTGGATTGTGTAGTGTATGCATGATTACTTTTTAAAAAAGAAATAATGATAATACAGTCGTGCCCCTCTTAACGATTACCCCGCATTACGATGAATCTGCTTTACGACCATCTTTTTGCGATCGCAAAAATGGGGCTTTTTCGCTTAGCGATGATCGGTTCCCTGCTTCGGGAACCGATTTTCGCTTTACAGCGATCAAAAAGCTGATCATCGGGTTTTCAAAATAGCTGCCTGGTGTTTAAAATGGCTCCCTTCTGTGCTTAGGGACGGATTCATCGCTATACAGGCAGCGAAAATGGCCGCCGTATAGAGCATCTTCGCTGGACGGGTTTCAGTGTGTTTCAGTGGGGTTTTAAATTTCGCTTTACGATGTTTTCGCTTAACGGCGATTTTCCTGGTACGGATTATCGTCGTTAAGTGAGGCACCACTGTAAAAGAAATTGGCTAGAATGTTACAGCTTTTTTGTTAGGTTTATGTAACTTGCTGCAGCAAATTGATGAGATTTAGGGGTGTATCTCATTGACATGCCTGGCCACATTGCCTATTGTATAATCAAAGTGTGCCTGAGCAAGTATCCAAACCATACATGAACACCAGTAAGCTTTTGGCTGATATCTTTTAGTTTTTCAGGGCAGTAAACAAATTTTATCTTCCTTCACCCCAGCTCTCTATCCTTGTTATAATCAAGAAGGAAGAGTTAGGAATTGTTGTAGTTGTGGGCCAGTCTTTTAGGGGCAAAATTTTTAAAATATTAATTTATTTTTATTTCTAGGACTTCTTTTTTTATTCACTGGTATATGATCCACAGCAGAAGACACTATTGGCTGATAAAGGAGAAATCAGAGTTGGTAACAGATTCCAGGCTGATATAACAGACTTCCTGAAAGAAGGCAAGTGTTCACATCAGTGCTTAAAGTATTTCATAGTGTTGTAACAGCTTTGAGTACTACTGACATATAAGGACTTTCTGTCTATTAGGCTGAGGAAAGGCCCACTGTTACCTTGTTTCACATACTGCTTCCCAGTACATAATGCCACCTAATACGTTAAGAGAGCCAAAATTACTGTATTTTTCCATGTATCAGATGCTACTTTTTTCTAAAATCATTACACTAAAATTGAGGGGTGTCTTATACACAGAAGTAAGCTGAGCAGAGGACAAAACTGCCCGTTCCTTGCCTCTGTAAACAGGCTTCCTTCAATAACGAGGATTAGCTTCCTACATTCAGGAGACTTAGCTTCCTCCAAGCACGACCCATATGGAACTGACATCAGCTGATGCTGAAAAAACCAATTGGAACACACCTTATTGAAGGTAGAACTTGTAGGCTCGGATGCAACAGAGTCGTAATGTCTAAGCATTCTGAGCCTAGATAAGTTAGATTTCTTATTTTTGGGTTAGAAAGGGGGGTCTATATCGGGGTGTTTTATACACAGAGGCATCTTGTATACAGAAAGATACAGTACTTGTATTTTATGGATAGAATATATTTAAAAGACAACCCAGAATTGAATTTTCTGTTGCTGTAGGAGTTTGAGGTTACAACCTGCAGTGGTTTTTTTTGGAGGGGGGATTGGCTAAATTTGGACCACAGGGAGTGCAAAATGATTTTGAACAGATCTGCAAGGTATTTAAATAGTTTGTGGGAACATTACTGAAAAGGTGCAGGCTCGATTCAGAATGGTCAAACCAGAGGGCTTGGTGCAGGGAACTTACATTTGTTGTGTAGTCATTTAGTTGTGTCCGACTCTTCATGACCCCATGGACCAGACCACACCAGGCCTTCATATCTTCCACTGCCTCCCGGAGTTTGGTCAGATTCATGTTAGTAGCTTCAGTGACACTGTCCAACCATCTTGTCCTCTGACGTCCCCTTCTCCTCTTGTCCTCACACTTTCCCTACATCAGGGTCTTTTCCAGGGAGTCTTCTCTTCTCATGAGATGGCCAAAGTATTGGAGCCTCAGCTTCAGGACCTGTCTTTCCAGTGAGCACTTGGGGTTGAAATGCTTGGAATTGTTAGTGCACCTAATAAAACCTTCGTTAAAGTAATTTGGCTTCGTTCTGAGTCTTTTTGAATTTTTGGTGATTTTTTTTTCACCATTGAAATGTATTGAATAGGCTCCTATTGGAACGGATTAACCGGTTTTCAATGCATTCCTATGGGAAATGGTGTTTCGCTTAATGATGTTTTCAGATAACGATGTTTTTATTGGAACCAATTAACATCGTTATGCGAGGCACCACTGTAAACAGAAATATTAGCTTTAACCAGTTCCAGCTTTTGCTCTTTTGAAACACCTCAACTTCTCTGACCTTGGCCTCTGCTTTGTCCCTTCAGAACTCTCTCCTTTGAGCTCAGGACAAGCTAGCCAATTGGTCCTTTCCCTGCTTGAGGCAACCTTATGCCAGAAATGGTTTCCTCAGAGCCTATCCCTATGTTAGTCGCCTGATCTGAGCTTAGGAGCCTCCCCACTAAGCTTTTCCCCCTGAAAAGCTCTAGGAAGTTACCACTCCGTTCCCTTCAGATCCCCTGACTAAAATATCTTTTTCCACTCTGGAAACCTTTCTGTTCGTAGGCGTCACTGGATTACATTTGATCCCGCCGCTGCCACCATTTTGTCATGATCCCCTCTGAAGTCCCTATCCTCCCAGGCCTTCATGAGGTTCTCGCTTTTCTTTCTTCTTCACTGCCACCTGCTTTAATATCAATTGAGTATGGAGACAAGTGTGCTGTTAAAAACTTAAGTCTTTTGTTTGATCAGGGAAGTTAATAAACGATAAATATTCATGGGATAAATTACAGGTTGCTAATCACTTATGTTTGAATCAGATTGGATATAACTTCAAAACTCTTTTAGCCCTCTGCTTCAATCTACGTTCTTACAGATCTCTAACTCACTCTCCAGTCACTTTCAAACTACACACAGTCTATCTCCCTCTTAGACTACATCCACCAGTCTTCATATCCAGCTCCCTCCCCCCTTGGCTCTGCCTTCCATTCACTCATTGGCTCCTGCATCAAGGTTATGAGGTGACGGGCAGGTGAGGTCAGGGCTGTTCGCTACAGTCCAGCTCTCACTTCCATACATCACTACAGGAAAAACCATAGCTTTGACTATGTGTACCTTTGTTGGCAAGGTGACGTCTCTGCTTTTTAAGATGCTATCTAGGTTTGTCATCGCTTTCCTCCCAAGAAGCAGGCGTCTTTTAATTTAATGGCTGCTGTCACCATCTGCAGTGATCAGGGAGCCCAAGAAAGTAAAATCTGCCGCCGCCTCCATATCTTCCCCTTCTATTTGCCAGGAGGTGCTGGGACCAGTGGCCATGATCTTAGTTTTTTTGATGTTGAGCTTCAGACCATTTTTGCACTCTCCTCTTTCACCCTCATTAAGAGGTTCTTTAATTCCTCCTCACTTTCTGCCATCAGCGTGGTATGATCTGCATACCGGAGGTTGTTGATATTTCTTCTGGCTATCTTAATTCCGGTTTGGGATTCCTCCAGTCCTGCCTTTCGCATGATGTATTCTGCATATAAGTTAAATAAGCAGGGAGACAATATACAGCCTTGTTGTACTCCTTTCCCAATTTTGAACCAATCAGTTGTTCCATATCCAGTTCTAACTGTTGTTTCCTGTCCCATGTATAGATTTCTCAGGAGATAGATAAGGTAGTCAGGCACTCCCAGTCTTCATCATGGTCTTCTGTGAATGCACACAAAAAGGTTAACCCAACGCCAGTGTTGGTCCTCTCAGAACTTTCTTGAGCTTTAAGAGAAAAGTAACAAAGTTTAAGGCTGCCTATACTCCACCCGCTCCAGTCTCAGTTCCATTTTTCCGCCTAGCGATTTGGAACCTCTCGCTTCGAGCTTTATAGTTTTTCGCTATTTTGACAGATATTTTGGTTTTTTGACATTGATATTGGACTGACTTAGTGAACTGTCTCCTTCCCTGATGCGGACTATTTTTTCAATCGACCCGGTCTTTGGCTTTCCCCTCAACTTTGGCTGCTTCAGACTTCCCACCTTTTTTCCCGCCCTGCAAACGGCCACCAATAAGACTTTTCAGCTTTTATGTCCCCTTCAGGGCCGTTTAGCCGTTGTGTTACATGTGCAAGGAAGATTTCCCCACCAAGACGGGCATGATCGTTGCCTTTTCTGCCTAGGTGAATCCCACCTCATTAAATCTTGCAGACATTGTAAAGCCTTCGCTAAAGCCGCTTTAAAAGCCAGGCAACAGCGCCTTAAATATCACCTGTGGGAATCTACTTTAGCTTCCACCAGACCTTCTGATATGGAAATGGCCTCACCTTCGGCCACCTCTCGCTCTGAAGTGGCGGCTTCTCCTTAATCAGTGGTCTTCAAAGTTACTAAAGCATCTAAAAAGATGACTTCTTCGAAAAAATCTACTTTGACCTCGAAGTCTACTGCTTCTTCTGCACCCAAACCTGTGAAGCAATCAAAGGGAAAGGCTCCTGTTAAGGCGAAGGAATCCTCCATTCACCTTCCACCTATTTCTGAAGCTTTACCATCACCTATTTTGGAGGATTCGTCAAGAGACCATGAATCTTTGTCGGAGGCAGCCCCATCGCTTCCTCCTCGACAAGTTGAGCCGTCTCTTCCGGCTGGTGTCTCCTCACCGACGCCAAGTCAGCTTTCTGGACCTACTGCAGGCTTGTCTTCTGCCTTGCACAGCCCGATTCCTCATGGGCAGGGGTCTTCGGCTCTTTCGGTCTCGTCGGCGTGTTCGAGGTTGAGATCCCCTCATAAAAAGCGCTCTTCGAAGAGGAAACACCGTTCCTCCACTCAACGTTGATCCAAACACTGATGTCGAACTAGATCTTCTGACTTAGACGACTCTGGTAGAGCGCGGGCGCACCACCGCCATCAATGTCAACGAGACTATAGGTCTTCAGATTCCTCCTCGACGTCGACCAATCGAGGTCGAAAGCATAAGAAGGCGATATACGTTTACCTCTCTGCTACTTCTTTGTCTGAGTCTCCTCGACCCCGTCGCCATCGTCGACGTCGACAGGTCGACATCGAGGGCTCTAAAGCCCCAGTACCAACTCCTGCAGAGCCCGTCCCCTCGACATCGACGGCTCCTGTCTCTTCACAGCAGAGCCAGTCTTCAACTTTCGACATCAAAAGACATCCTCATAAAAGAAAAAGGGATGTTTTCTTTTCAGACCCGGATGAAGTTTCCTCTGTGGCATCTTCAGAGTCTGAGCAGGAATTACCATCACAACCTTGCCAAGGGGACCTTCCTGAGGGTGAAGTGGTCGGATCTGATATGGGGGATCCGCATGCTTCGTCTCCTTGAGAGGACTTCTGATATTCTCAGATGCTAGAAAGGGCTCTGAAATTGGAAGTAGACCAACCTACGCCCCCTGCTGAGGACCTTATCTTTGGTGACATCAACCGGGAAAGGTCTCCTCCCCAAGTCTTACATTTGTACCAGTAATAATGGACATTATCAAGGAGTTCTGGAAGCAACCTTCTATCTCTCCCTCTATTTCTCGTCATACGGAGAATCTTTATCGTGCCCATGGCAATGACACAAAATTGCTTCTTAAGCACCCTATACCGAACTCACTAATTGTAGAAACCAGTTGCACCAAGCCCACTGGAAAATCGCATGTTACCCCCACAAACAAGGAGGGTAAAAAGCTGGAGATATTTGGAAGAAAAATCTACTCTTTAATTTCTTTCCTCGTGCGAATCATAAACTATCAAACTGCTTTGGGAGCATACCAAAAGCAGCTCTGGCTAAAAATTTTACCTAGTCTTAAAATGACCCCAGAAGATGTCAGACAGGGTTTCCTAAATTCCTATGAAGAAGCACAAACCGTGTCGAAACATGAAAGGTTGTCGACCAGGCATGCAGCGGAGA